CCTCCATGTTATCTTGCATCAATTTTTTTAAACAAATTGTTCAAAGCAACAATCCAATTTATTATGCACTGCATTTCCATTCCCAAGTCAAATTTCCAAATGTTCTCTTGTATGCTTTCGTCGATATTCTTGACACCAAATGCAAATGTTTATAGCATTCCAAAATAATGTGCATACATTCCGAAAAAATATGTACTGCATTTAACAAGGGGTGAACATTTTTTTAACACTGGGTGAACATTTTCCCAGAATGTATGAACACTTTCTTACAAGAGACCAACTTTTTTTGGAATGTGCAAACAGTTTTTTTTAATACATATGCAACTCGAATTTAAAAATGTTCCTATGGTAAGAAGATGTTGATGTATTTAAAAGCATGTACATGTTAAAATGAACCATTTTTATGGCGCATGTTAGAATGAACCTGTGTGTTAATGATAAAACTCTTAACAGTCTAAGTCCAGAGTTTCAAAGCAAAAATAAGCTTTCCCTTTGTACCTTCAAGCTAACTGTTGAAAGTTGGTAGTTGGAAAATTTGTGACTCATCAAATCAGTACGTATGTGCAGGCATTTATTTCACAATGATTTCGTGACGTCTTTCGGCTTATTTTCCCTTGTGGCATACGGTTCCCATTATGGCGTACAGTACATTAGTACAACTACAACGAGAGATGCACATTAGTCGCGATTGTGCTAGCTGAACACAGAATGCAACTTCAGGAAAGTCTCGATTAGCCTACACATATAGAGCAAATAGTAGCGGTACCGAATGTGTACGATAGTCAACAGTGAAAGCGAGTTAATAGACCGTGTGGTACACAAATTTCGCCATCCATGCGATGCTCCGAATTATTTTCTTGAATGTTGACAGAAGAGCTGCCAAATTCATGGATTACCAGTGATGCTCGTAATCTGCAGACGGCGCCCGCTTGATAGTTATCCCGCTGGTGTTGGGGCATCTTTTCGAGTTCAGCACAAGAGATACAAAACTCTGAATCGCTGGTACTATGCAGCAGAAGTACACAGCACGCCCACGAGCATAAGTGTACAATTTTTCTTCTCTATGGACTTTGGTTGGCACATTAAACTCTGCATTTAGGGATCTGCCTCACAAATATGCTCTTCGATGCAACGAATAGCATAAAGCAAGACCTTTCACTACAAGATTGAGATTTTGGATGGAAAGACCAACCGAGTTTTTAATTTGGTGCTGGTTTCTTCAAAAAAAAAATGGTGCTGGTTTCTTCGAAAAAAATGTGGTGCTGGTTCACGGAATTTCGGGCGTCAAGACAGGTCCTAGCAATTTTGATAACCATTGTTGAATGGCTAAAAGTGTCAGGACAATCCGGTGAAGATATTTGTAGGTGATTTAATGATTCGCCTTGGAGTTCCCCTTAGCTAGCCGCGTGTATCTAAAAAAAGTTAGCTAGCCGCGTGCTACAGCTAGAGTCAGTCAGCACGCACATTTTCCTTCAGGCAAGACGGCTGTGTCGTCCCTGTTACTGCGATCCAATCAACAACATAATTTCAGAAGAATATATTAGAAGTCCAGATTGTTTTTCTATCTACTACATATACATACAACACTCAACACATGCCTATAGAAGTGGGAGCAAGTGGTGCCAAGGGAAGCCTTTCACGCTGAAACATATCCGGTGTCATCACACCATATGGCTGCAAGAGCTTTGCTGGCGGTTTTCCTCCCACTTCTCCTTCTGGTTGTCGCTTCCGGTGCCGACGACGGCGCCTATGGCCTGCAGCCGATAAGCCGGAGGAGCTTCCCCAAGGGCTTCGTCTTTGGGACGGCCTCCTCTTCGTACCAGGTTTTCACTCGTTTTTTTCTTCATTGATTCATGATTTCTTGCCTTTGTTCAGTACAATCTGTTTACAAGTATGAAAGCTGTAGCATAACAATCTGATGCTAAGTCGTTCATCGGCCGGACTCAAACTGATTGAATGCTTTTGACCAACAACTCATAAAAAGAAATGTTGCAATCTACTGTACCCTGCATTTCATACAGAAACAACTTGCTGTTCTAGTAGTCAGCAAGCCTGCATGGACTTTTATTTTATTACCCTCAATACGGATTTTCAACAGAATCGAAGCGATTTGCTAATCGGATCAGATTGGTGCTGTTTTGCAAAAAGTCCCTTGTAAATATGAGTCCGCTCTTGAACGGTTAAAGGAATGCTGATGTGGTAGCCACGTGGCCCTTTTTTCCGCCTAGAATCAGTGTTGGTCCTATTTGATCAAATAAACGAGTTTATAAATTAAATCTGATCCATTTTCGAGTTGTTGGCTTAAAGCGTGCAATCAGTTTGGATTCATGGATCAATGAAGTACAGTATTTCACTCTTAATTAGTGATATCTACTTTATGTTTTTTTTTGGTTCTAGCATCGTCTTATTACAAATTTGCTGGATATTCACATGCTGCAGTATGAGGGTGGTGCAATGGAGGGGGGCAGGGGATCAAGCATCTGGGACAACTTCACTCACCGGCACCCAGGCATGTAGAGTATATGCATCTTTTACATGCAGTGCATCTATCTTTTTTGTTATAAAAAATGTTGTACATATCTTGTTAATAAGAACATTATCAAAAAAAAATTGAGAGGTCAAGAAATCACCTTTTTATTTAACCGCGTAAAGCATTAATAGTGTTTAACCATTGGACGGAAAAATCACACGCGCACACCTCAAGGCTAATCAAATCCTTGGGAAATCAATTCTTATTTAACACATTGTTAGGCAACTTAGAATAAGAAACATGGTAGTAATGATATAGTATTATATACTACTCACGCATGCAAAGCATAAAATTAAACTTCTCCAACTTCGACTAGTACAAAAAGTTGTTTAGAATAGTGAGGTGAAAAACAGAAACATGTATTTATTTGCGAAAATATTTGCATAGTACCAGATTACTATTTACAAACACAATTGTAAGAAAAATAGAGTCAAAGTTAGGTGTTAGAGACTGTGCATATTAACAAAAGGAGTAGTATTATGGCAATATAGTCTACAAGAACGTATGTCTGAGTATCTTACGACTTTTGATGCAATTTTTTTTGTGATTATCAAATATTTGTAGTTATATGGACAACTAGGCCATTCTATCCACCAATGGTGTGATCACCAACAAAGTAACTTGAATTTAAAATTGAGCTTAAATCATGATGTTACTTTCGACAAAATGAATACAAATGAGCAGAATAGCCCTATTTCAATAAAGCTATGCCGAGTAAATACATTTTTGCAGATAAAATCACCGACGAGAGCAATGGGATGTGGCAGTGGACTCCTACCATCTTTACAAGGTACGGATAACTTATATATATGTCTTGCTTTTCAACTAGATCTATAAGCTTTTTCACATATTATATGGTCAAAGCTGCTAATCAAGATCACATTGTGACAAGATCTTTGAATTTCAGTTCCAATCCTACAAAAAGAAACTAGGTATTCCCTCTGTTTAAAAAATAATACATTGTCCTAAGTAAAACTTTTTGAAGTTCGAGCAAATCTATAGGAAAGTCTGCAAGGATCCACAGTATGAAATATACATTATATGAAAATATATTTCATAATGCATCTAATGAAGAAATGTTGGTGTTGTAGATGTTGATGTATCCTTGTATAGATTTGGTCAATCTTAATGAAGTTTGACTTAGGACAAACATAGAATTTCAATTATCTTCTAACAAAGGGAGTTGTACCGATCCTAATTTGCCAAAAAATGCAGGAAGATGTGCGCCTCATGAAGGATATGGGAATGGACGCATACAGATTCTCCATCTCATGGACGAGAATTCTTCCAGGTATGCTATTTTCAAACTGGATACCTCAACTCTCATTTTTCTTCCTAGTAGAATACTCTATTTTGCATCACCTTCCCATTTCCTAGTCAATATAGAATGTTCAATAGATCTTAATTAATGTTTAATGCATAATAGATGGAACTCTGAGAGGTGGAGTCAACCGAGAAGGTATTAAGTATTACAACAACTTGATCGATGAGCTGTTGTCAAAAGGTCTGATGTCGAACCGTAAATATTTAATTAGTTTTATTACGTAATCGATTAAACTGCATGGAACATCGGGTCCTTTCTTTATTTTATCAGATTACTCTTAAGATTTGCAATCTTTTCTATATCTGTAGGGGTGCAACCATTTGTGACCCTTTTTCACTGGGACTCTCCACAAGGATTGGAAGATAAATATGGAGGATTTCTTAGCCCTAATATCATGTAAAGTCAATCATTATTTATTTCCTAAGAACATAACTCCCTAGAGTGACGTTTTAGACATGAGCACAATACAACTCTATTTGAGTAACTTTAAATAAGTAAGCAAAACAATTACAAAATATATTGTATTTTTATGAGAAGTAAAACTGAAACATTTCTCCTAATGTACCTTAGTACTCCGTATGTTTTATACATTAGTTGTTGAAGATTGAAAAAGTGTGGCTACGTGCTTTGTAAAACTATTTCATTTTTTATGAAGGTAGTATCGTGTGGAAACATGTATACGTTAACTTTCAAAATAACCAACTGACACTGGTGCAGAAATGACTATAAAGACTTTGCTGAAGTATGCTTCAGAGAATTCGGAGATCGGGTGAAGCATTGGATCACATTGAACGAGCCCTGGTCCTTCAGCGTTTCAGGTTATGCACGGGGCGTAGCTGCACCTGGCCGGTGTTCTCCCTAGGAAGAGGCAAACTGTAGTGACGGGGATTCAGGGAGGGAGCCATACATTGTTGGCTACCATCAGATACTCGCTCATGCAGAAGCCGTGAGATTGTATAAACAGAAATATAAGGTGACTGATCCAGCCCTTTATCATATCATGCAGCTGCAATTCGTCCATGAACGTGATTGATATGGTGTACATCAACAAAATGCAGGGTGTGCATAGCTTTGGTCTCATATTGGGTTACTCCCTTATCCCGTACAAAATCTAGTGTTGCTGCGACAAAATGTGCTATAGAATTTATGCTTGGATGGTAAACTCTTTACGTTTCACGCTGGCATAATTTCGTCCTATGTGTTTAGAAGAGAATGAAAATTGATCTTATGCTAGGAATAAAACCTGCTGTAGGTTTTTGGATCCACTCAGCAGAGGAGACTATCCCGAGAGCATGAAAGTATTGGTCGGAAACCGCCTGCCACAGTTCACCAGACAACAGTCTAAATTGGTGAAGGGTGCATTTGACTTCATTGGAATCAACTACTACAGTACAAACTACGCTTATAGCCTTCCTCCATCTAATTGCCTGAGGAACAGCTACTCTACTGATGCTCAAGCTAATCTTACGGGTGAGTCGATCATGCTCAATCAACGATCAATCTGTGTTTGTTCTTCATTGGCCAGCCTAATAATATCAAGGAAATTATTCCCTTTTAGAAATAAATATTAAGTGAATAATAGAGACATTGCCACTGATTACATATGTTAGCACTGCATGCTAACATTATCCAATTATGTCAGGTATTCGAAATGGTGTCCCCATAGGTCCTCAGGTAACTTGCAACTTATCCGCATAAACAGTCCTTCAGTTTTCTCCCAACTTTTTTCGGGTTGAGTAAATGACTTGCATGTAGGCTGCTTCGCCTTGGCTCTACGTCTACCCTCAAGGCCTCCATGATATGCTACTTTTTCTCAAGGAGAAGTACCACAATCCAACCATCTACATCACTGAAAATGGCAAGTGCATTTTCCTCCGCTAGATAGGAACAATGAGATCAAAACTTATCTGAATTATTATTTTTCTCTTTGTGTATTTTAGGATTCGATGAAGCCAACAACAAGAGACTACCACTAAATGAAGCCCTCAAGGACGATGCCAGGATAGACTACCACCACATGCACCTTGTTGCCCTGCTGAGTGCGATCAGGTTGGTGGTAGCAGCTTAATTTTACAATCCGACCCTATCAATAAGCCTCGAAATATTACATCAACTGATTTTCTGTAGGGACGGGGCAAACGTGAAGGGGTATTTCGTGTGGTCGATGCTCGACAACTTCGAGTGGGAGAGCGGGTACACAGTGTGGTTTGGGTTACACTATGTGGACTACAACCATGGTCTAAAGCGGTACCCCAAGCGCTCTGCTGGCTGGTTCAAGAATTTTCTCAAGGATGATCTCACAGATAACCTGGAAACCAGCGACAAATAATGGAGGCATTGTACGTGTTGCAGATTGAAATAGATGCTTGCCTGATTGTGCAGTTTGATGGAACGAGAAAATACTCTGCAGTGTAAAGATCAGTGTAACAGGAGGCTCGTGCAAGAACGTACCTAGTGATACCAAAGTTTATCAATACTTGAACCTTCAAAATTAAATTATCAGACTATAAAATTTTAACAACTAATATGATACGAGATGTAGTACAATAAAATGTTTGATTCAACATACTGCTCTTTAGCTTTATGTTTATATCAGAAAACTTACGATTATAGATTGATGTAACAACATTAAAAATATAAAATTTTACTTTTGTTAAGTCATCCAACTAACTTGACAAAGACATTCACGTACTACTATGTGGCACCCTAATTAACTTAACTGGATAAGTTTCATAACTAGTGCCTACATTTGAATTCACAATCTAATATTAATCATTTCCGCTAGTTCGAATAGCCGGTTCCCTCCCCTTTCGCTCAAGCTAAAGGTTCCGGGCAAGTCTCTGAAAGCTTATACACCATATCTATAAAAAAAATGTTGTATCCATTAAGTCACAAAAGTCAAGTCTACAATATAATAATACCAGCTTAACACTAATTTGTGATTAAGTGTCTGTGTCTATAACTAACATGCTCATTAAAATTGTCCAAGTTTCCGTTTCCTAACTTATAACACATTTTACATACGTAAACTTACCATCAATTACTATTTGCGTTATAATGTTATAACATTTGACATCCAAAGTTTCTCAGTGCAAATATTCAATAATTCCAATATGCGACTTCTTGGAAGAGAACAAGCCAGTACAATCACTGTAACTTAACTCAACACTAATGTACTAATTAATTATCTATTTCTGTAACTAACATGGTCGTTCAAATTGTGTAAGTTTGTTTTTTCGGACAAACACATTTTACATTCATAAACTAAGTACTTCCACTATTATTTGCGACTTAAGATATGACTTTTTTTTCTTTACTACAAAGACTCAGTAAGTCAAATATGTGAGTTCTTCGAAGAAAGCAAGCCAGTAGAAGTACAAACGACAAAAATAAGATTGAACACATATCAAGCATAAGCAACCGTTCTACGAACATGAATCTTCAATGCAGATCAAACATACAAGAACAACTAACCTCAGCCGCAAAAGGTTCTGATATACCTCTGCTATTGTTATTACTCGCTTTGGTCCCTTTCCTCTACATCATTGCTACTCGAACACAAGAATTCTAGGGAAAGAAGAGGCACTAGAAGAACAGACAACCATGAAGAAGAAGACAGAGTGAATGATTTTTCCACACGGTACGGTTTCACTACAAAAGTTGTTGTACAGTTTATCGAAATATGTGTACCTTCGAAACTGGTCCCATAGAAACATGTATATTGCTTTCCATTTTCGCTCAGATTAAAATATTCGGTTAGTGCTATATGCTGGAAAATAGATGATATGCATAAACGAGTTTCCAAATCTTGGCGTAGACTAGCGGTTGACAATTTGCGTGCCCCCACTCCAGTGTGTCACAAATCTTTTTCCCCTATCTCATCAATGCTGAAGTTAGGACTCACAAGTACTTTACCAGTAGAGAGAGGGAGGGTTGTATCATTAAGCTATTAAATGAGCTTAATGGATACATGTCAAGTCAAGTCAGAGTAGTAGATGATAAAAGTAATTTCAAGTCAGAGTACATGTAATTAAGTTAGGACTCACAAGTACTTGTGATACCAGCATGGATCATCTTTTATTATTATAGAGTACATGTTAATGATTTGTAGTGATAGAGTGACACTTATTTTTTTCTTTAAAATATTCTTTACACCTACATGCATCATTTTTAAATAACTCTAGATCAATCAAAATAATTTCTCCTATAGAGGAAGCTCCATGCTATGTTCAAAATATTCTTTACAACAACAATCATGTTCTTCCAAACAAAATGTTTAGGACAACAAATCCAATGGATTATGTACTGCATTTATATTTGAAAGTCAATTTTTCCAGTGTACACTTGTATGTTTCCTTCAAAATATTCTTAACACTAACTGTATTTTTTTTCTCGAAAAAGTGTACTTTAGAAAAAACAAAAAACATCCAAGACAAATATCACAATCGAATGTTTTCTACAAAATATTCTGTAAACCATTTTTTATAACGATCTCTAGATCAATCAAAGTAATTAACACAATAAGAAAAGCGCCATGTTAACTTGCATTAATATTTTGGAAATAAGTTGTTCAAAACAACAATCCAATTTAATATGCACTGCATTGTTCTCTTGTATGTTTTCTTCAAGATATATTTGACACCAAAATATTTTCTTAAAAATATTTTTAAGGCTATACAAATGTTCATACAGTTCTAAAATAATGTACTCCCATTCGGGAAAATATATACTGCATTTTAACAAGGCAATTTTTTTTTGGAATGTATGCACATTTTTTTAACATGGGATGAACATATTTCCAGAATAGATGAACTTTTTTTACAAGCGACCAACTTCTTTTGGAATGTACAAAAAATTTGTAATACATAAGCATCTCGTATTAAAAAAGTTCCTACGGTAAGAATATGTTGACATATTTAAAAACATGTTATTGTTAAAATGACTTTTTCTATGGGATACGTTAAAATGGACCTGTGTCCTGATCATAAAACTCTTGACAGAGTAACAGTCTAACTAAGTCAAGAGTTTCAAAGAAAAAGAAGCTATCCATGTTGTACCTTCAAGCGAGTCTAACATTCTAGAAGGGCCTATTGCTCTCACGGAGATAATCCACGAGTTGAAACATACGTGTGGACAGGGTGTTATCCTCAAGCTAGATTTTGAAAAAGCATACGACCGCGTAAACTGGGAGTTTGTGCGGGAGGTACGTCCTCCTCAAAAAGGGTTTTGAGGCAGGGTTTGTCCACCGGATCATGCACCTGATCTTGAGTGGCAACACCTTGGTTATTGTCAACGGTGAAATGGGGAAGTTTTTCTGTAATAGGAAAGGGTTAAGACAGGGCGATCCCATCTCCCCACTCGTCTTTAACTTTGTGGCTGATGCATTGGCAGCTATGCTGTCCAAGGCCAGGGAGGCCGGTCATATCAAGGGGCTCGTCCCACGCCTCATCCCGGGTGGTGTGACACATCTACAATATGATGACGATACCTTGCTATTGTTTAAGCCTGACGACCATAGTATTGCATCGATTAAGCTTTTGTTACTCGCCTTTGAGATCCTTTCCGGACTCAAAATAAATTTTCTTAAAAGTGAGGCCATTACCATGGGGATGGACGACCAACAAAGCTTTCGAGTCGCAAATTTACTTAATTGTAAGCTTGGGAGCTTTCCAATTAAGTACCTTGGGCTTCCTATATCTCACTGCAAACTTTCGATTTTAGAGTGGGAGCCTCTGTATGGGAAAGTGGCCAATAGGGTAAGCCCGTGGCGAGGGCGTTTTATGTCCTCTGCGGCGAGGCTCATTTTAACTAATTCGAGCCTCTCTTCCCTTCCCCTATTCACTATGGGGATGTTCTTACTAGTCGATGGCGTCCACGCTAAGCTAGACAAATCGAGATCCCGGTTCTTTTGGGAAGGAACTGGCATCAAGCGGAAATACCATCTAGTAAAGTGGGCGGCTGTTTGTAGGCCAAAAAAATTTGGAGGATTGGGAATCCTAAACTCCAAACTAATGAATGCCGCCCTCCTTTCCAATTGGTGGTGGCGGCTTGCCCAAAACGAGACGGGTCTCTGGGCTCAGCTGCTAAAAGCTAAGTATTTCCCGAATGGAAATCCCTTCACGGCCTCGGCCAACGGCTCCGTGTTTTCGAAAGGGATCCAAGCGGTCCGGCCCGCTTTTGTTATTGGGGCCAAAATTTCAGATTAACAATGGCCAATCCACTCGGTTTTGGCTTGATCATTGGCTGGGCGCCTGTCCCCTTTGGCAAAGCCACCCCAACTTATTCTGGATCGCCACTAACATCAACATCTTAGTGGGGGAGGCAGTTCGTACTGACCCTCCCGCGATCCACTTTCTGCGGGCCCTTACCAACACCGAAGAAGAGTCATGGGCCGGTCTGGCACAGCAAATTGGCGCCAACCATCTAGGGATGGGCAATGATTTGGTAGAGTGGAGCTTGACAGCTTCCAGGAAATTCTCGGTTAAGTCCCTCTACAACAAGCTAACTGAAGGGACATCGCTTGATATAGCTAGGGGGTTGTGGAAGGCAGGCCTGCCCTTGAAGATTAAAATCTTCATGTGGCAAATGTTCAAGAATAGGCTGCCCACTTCGGATAACGTGGCCAAGTGTAACGGTCCGGCTGATGGTACATGCACTGTGTGCGGCCTCGGTGAAGATGCAAACCACGTCTTTTTTAGATGTCACCTGGCCAGGTTCGCGTGGAGTGCAGTTAGGGAAGCTTTCCACACGAACTGGAACCCAGCCTCGGGGAATGACTTGATTTCCATCCTCAAATCCACGAAAGGGACTAGTAGTAGAATCACTTGGCGATGCGTAGGGGCGCTGCTCTGGGCTATTTGGACGACGCGCAATAAAATTATGATTGAGAAAAAAATTCCCTAACCATCCCGCGGACGTGATCTTCAAATGTCATCTCTTTTTTTACAGACGTGGACTCCGCTGGGGAAGGAGCGCGATGCTGAGCGCATGTCGGAGGCCATGACGCGCATCAAGACTATCCAGGTGATGGCAAGACAAGATCCGCCGAGTCGTTGAAGCTTTTGGAGTCTTTTAGAGGGTGATCTATGTTAGCTAGGTCTTCAGCGTTGGATGTTATGGTTGGTTGTAATGTTGCCTTCGCGATAAACCTTCAGTTTCGTTTGAACGGCGGTCGTGGACCGAACGTTTCCTTTTGCTTTAGCTAAGATGTAACTTGTTGAACCTGGTGCCTGTGGGCTTTATTAATTTAAAGCCGGACGCTTCTAGCGTCTTCGTTCCAAAAAGAAAAAACCTTCAAAGGAACAGTTGGAAGTTGTTGGGAGCTTTGGA